CAAAGTGAAGCCTTTCTGTGTATAGTATACAGCGGCTGCAATTAATTATTCGCGGTCATAAAAAAATCAATTAAAAACCATGGAAACCGAGGTGTACCCTTATTTTAATCGAAAACGGCGCGATATTGAAGGAAAGCACCTTGCTGCAGTGTTCCTGAGCTGTTGTTCTTCTTGTGTTACTAAGCCTTGGTCTCTTTGGAGCTGCTTTTACCGGTTCTTTTCAGACTACTGTCTCGCCGCATCTTGCCATTCTAGTAGTTAGTGTTTATTGACTTGGATGTGGTTTATTATCACCAGCACGCGGACCAGCAACATTTGCAGCAAAGAGGCTGAAAGAGCTCTGAGGTAGAGGTCCATACAAGAAGTTAACAGAGAGAGAAGGACTCGCTATTGGTGAATGGCTCCAGTAAAGCTAAAGAACAGATAAATAACTGAACACGTGGTCTTATTGTCATAGCAACGGTCTAACAGTTTCCATGGTTTTTAATTGATTTTTTTATGGCCGCGAAAATTGCAGCCGCGAATATACCCCGACCTACGGTATAACGGTAACTGATAGCATAAGCTGACAATCAATAAACAACATCAGAAAAATGTGTATGTTAATGAAAAAAGAAAGTAAAACCATTTGATTTCTCCTCCAATTGATAAACAAATATTTAATTATTTAGATAATATAGTCAAAAAATAATAAAGCTAAACTCTAATCTAAACATTTTGACTAGCTAAAAAGTTAGATCTAATTGTCATCATAAAAAGGGAGGATGGTGCTTGGATTCCCTCCACTCACAACCAGGATCCCAATGAGGCAGCCCAGGGCATACAGGAAGTGAATGATAGCTCCCAGGAGTAGAAGAAAAGAGAATGCTTGAGTCTGGCGAGCCCTGCTCTTAGCCACTGGGCTAAGAACCTGAAACTTAATAGTACCACTAGCTGAACTCAATTGAAAGAGGCCAGCACTACGAGCTTCATTATACTCCACTTCCACATTGCCCACCTGCAATCCAGCAGTATCTACTGTATTCAGGTAGATATAGCGGCCATCAATGACTTTTATTCGAACCTCCAAAAATGTATTAATCTTATTAATAGTTTGGAGAGCAGGCAGCTCGGGATGCTTGAGGACAATGGGTATGACCTTGCAAGCAATATTGACATACTGAGAGAAGAGCAGGATCCACAGTATATCAATGACAATAACAACACTGGCAGCAATAACGTGAAGGAATGAGATGAATCCAACAAAAAAATAAATCAGGAACATCTTCACAAACCCTTTCATGTACCAGTAACGACGCAGGCTCTGTCCCTGAGTATTCTTAATGATGAAATTAGTTTGATGGAAGCAACCAGCAGATATAGACTGATGTTTGCCAAACTCTTTCACTTCTATCTCCGTACGCTGAACATGTCCGGCTCCCACAGCAGACCGTTGACCTCGACTGACAGATACTTGGTTGGACATATTGTATCCTTCCTCTTCCTCTGTTTGGACTGTCTGTGACTCTGTGTCTCCTTATATATAATGGCCAAGATATGACACTAAGAAAACTGCAGTACTCCAGTTCCAAGAATATCATCCCACCACGGGAGTAAGTGAGGGATGGGTAGAGTACATCAATCAAAGCTAAAACACTGTATCCAAACTATTCCAAGATACAGTTGGTAAGTTATTCTAGCTTAACAAAGCCATTAATGCTACATTAGTAATAGATTTGAAATTGACATGTACAATTGCAATAGATTGTATAATTAAATCCAAGAAATTGATGGTAATAAATATCAAGATGGCATAAACCCATTACCAGCTGAAAAGTAAAAGACAAAAAAAGACAGAGTCTCTTCATTAATTAATAGTTACAGTGAAATCAGTAGAAATGACAACCCCTGGCCTTCCAATGGTCAATACCTTAGCATTATCGTTATATGAGAATCTTAATTCTTCAGTATTACCGCCTGTGGGTTAGAGAGAGATGCTCATACATTATTAATATCTTTATTCGACTAGCCTGTCTTCATTGCAACTGAACTAGGTTTCTTCCCGTAGCCAATGATGACTAGGCGCTCCACCCATGCCTTTGTAACAAGCTGACCGCTACCATTACCAGCTCTGTACCGTAATAAAATTAATAACTATTTAATAACTGATGGGAGGGGCTTACTTGCTACTAAATACATTGCCATTGAAGTTAAAATCTCTCAATAAAAATTTTTCGTTCTGATAATCGAAAGAATGTCCATCATCGACAAATAACTGTCCTTTGGCCTTTTCCTGCAATAAAAATTATTAATAAGCCACACCCAATAATTAATTAACACAAGCCACACCCATTAATTAAATACCTGCGCATCCAGTGCAATTAATAAAGTATATGGATCATCCAGTGTAAGCGATGAGGATCTCCTAACTCTTTGTTTCGTTGGAATAATATGACCACCTCTAATGAACAATGGGATCTATGAATAGTTAATTAATTAATTAATTAATATCAATGAATAATAATGAGGAGTACTTTAGACAGAGGGGCTGTCACGTGCTGTCTCCTTCCTCCGTTGTGAGCGGTCTGGTCATCATAATCATACCACAACTGAAAAATAAAATTACAATAAATTTCCACTTGTCCCCCCCCCCTCTCTCTCTCACTGTGCTGCTTCCAGGTAGGTATAACTGAACATAGTTAGCTCCTTCATCCATAACTGGCCTGACCATCAGTCCTGATCCTAATGGAAGGAGCATAAGAGACCTTTATCTTCTCTCTCTCTCTCTTAACTTACCAATCATCATTTGGTCCTCAATATTGTAAGTGTTCTTATCACGAGGGAACTCCAACCATAACGGCCTACACAGAAAAGAGAAATTACTAGTGCTGGAGATACTAATATACAGTACATGTATGCACACATGTACATGTACATGTACTTTTCGATTCTGATAATATCAACAATAACTAAAAAAATTTAAGTCAGAATCAGCTCAAACTTTCTACACAACATAAGTACATCAATATATATCAGAAAATGTAATAAAAATTGGGGGTTATTTCGGAGCTGTTTTTTTGAAAAAAGCATGTATAGCCTTGGGTAATTTTCAAAAATTGGCTGATTTCTTAAAATGGTCATAACTCAGAAATGTTAAGGTAGAATGAGCTCAAACTTTCTACACAACATAAGTACATTAATATGCATCAGAAAATGTAATAAAAATTGGGGGTTATTTCGGAGCCATTTTATGGGAAAAAAGCATAGGCTATAGTACAGGGAAATTTTCAGAAATTGGCTCATTTTTTTAAATGGCAATAACTCGAAATATATAGTTGGAATCAACTCAAACTTTCTACAGAGCATAAGTACATCAATATTCAATAGGCATCAGAAATGTAATAAAAATTGGGGGTGATTTTGGAGCCATTTTTTGGAAAAAAGCATGGGCTATAAGTATAAGTACAGGGAAATTTTCATACTTAATTATATTAAATACTTATTAGAGCTTAAGCTCCATCCTTCCTTACCTAGCGACAGGTAGTCCGGAGATGTGACTCTGATAAAAGAGAGTATACCAATATGGGAGGAGCTTATATCGGAGCCGCAATGCTTCACGAATCACGTTCCTATTTTCCTCGTCCATTAGATAAGGCTCACGTCTCTTAGTGTCAATATGGGCATGTGCTCGAAAGAAAGGATAAAAGGAACCAGCCTATAATAATAATAATAATAATAATAATAATAATAATAATAATAATAATAATAATAATAATAATAATAATAATAATAATAATAATAATAATAATGAATATCAAATGCTTCCTACCTGATACCATCTTGCAACAAGCTCTTGTCCAGGGTCTTTAAAAAATCCGCCCACATCCGCCCCCACAAAAGGTAGCCCAGCCACACCCACTGAGAGTACCATTGGTAAGGAGGCCCTGAGGTGGTCCCATGCTGCCATATTGTCCCCAGTCCATATAGCACCTATAGGAACATTTATCCTTGAAACCAGACAGGTGGGTTTTAAAGGGTTTTACCGTAGCGTTGGCTCCCGGCAAAGAAAGCTCTTGAGAGAACAAAAGGTCTTTCTCTTCCACCACTTCTCATCTTATGACCTTCATAAGTAGCACTGTGCTGTGGAGAAAGAGAAAGAGAGATGATTCAAAATATAAACAATGTCTAGTGTAAGCTTACCTGTAACATTCCATAAACATTATGTACATCGCGATGCTCCCATTCCCCGTAATGTTTGGCATCTTTATGCATAGTGATCTCTGGACCGTTAAACACAGATGGCTAGATAAAGCACGCCCACATAATTAATAACAATGATACAATATTAAAAAGGATACCTCATTCATGTCATTCCAAGTGTAAAGATTAAGAGTTGAACCCTAAGAAAATTGATAATAATAAAGTAAAATTTCATTAATTACCTCATATTTATCAAGTGTGAATTGTTCAGACCACCATTTTCTGTTGTCAGGATTAAGGAAGTCAATCCAAGACGATGAACCTTTTAAACAATAAAAGTGGGTGGGGACATAGGAAGTGGCTTACCAGGCCAGCACCATCCCTCATAAGTCGATCCATCAGCTTTCTTGACATACAGACCTTTAGAATCAGCTTCCTGTGGAGGTGTGGCATCACATGATAATAATTAATAATTCAAGTACCGAATGAATGTGATAGCCAGACTCTCTCTTTATATGAGGATCAATAATGGTCACCATCTTGAGAGAGAGAGAGGGAACAAAAAGGAGAAGAAAGAAAGAGAGAGAGGGGGGACAGTAGAGAGGGAGAAGGATAATGATAACTTCATTCCATTGTGCTTAACCTTTCTTCCTCTTGTTGCCAGTTTATTCTGCATCTCAGCCGGATTAGGGAACTTCCCAGTGTCCCAAGTGAAGTATTTCTTTCCATTCGTGTGCTCAATGTCAAGCCACAAGACATCGTACGGCAAATCATTCTCATCCAACTGTCTATCTACACTGCAAGCAAGCAAAAGGGAACAAACTGAAAACAAAGACACAGAAATAAAGAATACTTTTCGACGTCTTTCTCGTCGTTATAATTCCAGCGACACTGATGATAAGCAACAGCAAAATACTAACAACAAAAAAAACAATTAGAGACAAGATCAGATGAGTAAAGCATTACAGGAGGTAGAGCAGGAAAGCCAGTGAGTGAAGCATATTGTCTAAAGACATCATGAGGGCGTGGCCCAAGTATTATAAATAGATCAATGATTCCGCTCTCAGAGATCCAGTGAGTGTCAGTCTGTGGTATTTCATCCGTTGATTTGAACATTGCCATCAATTTACCAAGAATGTTCTGTGAGGAATGAAAATAATAATAAATTAATGGGCTGACAATACCTGATTGGCTGTTGATGAGGTAATGTCTATCCAAGTTTCTGCAGCATTGTTCCAGAACACACCTATCGTCTTACTCCAGCTGGAAAGAGAGAGGAGGGGGGATAAGGGGAAGGGAGGGAGTGGGTAAGAGATGAGTAAGTGGTAGATCATTATTACAAATATTGATTTACTTGTGTGCCAACATTACTGGTATTGAGCCATAAAGTGCCATTTTGTTATTCAGCTCATACTCAAACACGTCAAGATTAAACAATCTATAAGGATCGCCATCACTAGAGGATGAAAAAAAGGAAGAAAGTTGTAGAAATCACTCAATATTGGTACATGGTATCATTGGTATTGAAAATACTGTCTACAATTTCTCACTTGGTGTGCTTTAATTGGAAACTATCGGCATGTTCTGGTATGCCATATACATGTTCAACTCCAGGAAAAGAGACATCCAAACTGACAGAGCTAGGACCTAAGGGGGAACCAAGGGAGCCTGTACAATAATAATTGCCTTGATTAAATACCGTAAGGTTTCGAATCATGATGAGACTTGAAATTCTCTTCCCACATTCCCTCCTCCTCTTTCTCTCCCTCCTCTTCTTCTGCCTTCTCTTCTTCCTTCTCCTCTTCTTTCTCTTCTTCGTTTGCTCCATTTGTTTCCTCTGCCTTTTTCTCTCCTTCCTCTCCATTCTCATGAGTCTCAGTTGGTACAGGGAGTCTATTAGTAAGGGGCAGAGTCAATAGCTAATCAAGTGGGAGTGGTCAATAAATATAACTGACTTCTTTGCCCGATAGTGCTCAATATTCAAGAGACCTCGAGAATTAAGTACAACAGCAATTTCCCCATTAATGGAAACGTCTATTTTAAACGGATCGAAATTGACGACAGCTTCGGCCGTCTCTGTGGTAACAACCACACCCTCGCTTGACCTCTGAACCCGACACCTATAGAGGTGAGAGAAAGAGAGAGGAGGTGAGAGAAAAAAAGAAGAGGAGACATAAAGAGAGAGGTAGGTTGGAGTATTATTAATTATTTAATGTTTTCCATTACTTGTCTCGTTTCGGTTCGCCCACTAAAGACTCTTCCACTTGATACCTCTGTCTCAGCGGGCTCTTCTCGTTGATCTTAAGTCGTATCATGTTATCGCTCAGCGTATATAGCTCTGCTCTCAAGACCACGCCCGTTTTCTTATTAACCACGTCCATTTTACATCCAGAGTCTTCGATGAGGAGAGACTCAGGAGAGACAGCATATTGAGAGGGGCCTGGAGTGAGAGCCCTGTTCCTCCTAAGGGGAAAAGGATAGAATACTATCTATACTGTATTAAATAATATATAACCACCACACTACACAAAATATTATATAAAATGTGTCAACAAATGCATTTTGATTAATTGTCTCACTTGCAAAAGCTGGATTGCTCACAAGTTTTAAAGTTGTTTCTATCAACTGAGCCAGAGAACCCAACGAGGAGGAGGAGAAGGAGGAGGAGGAGGAACAAGTGAAGGGGATAAAGGTTCAACCCTTTCCCCATTGACATTGTGTACATTGTAATTAAAACAGTACTCGTGGGTGATCACGTGAGCTTTGATCAGTAATTGTCGTCATATCCTGTTGGTGGGTAGAAAAGGTGTGGCTATTAGTCACGTGATCATCAGAGGCGTGGCTAGGGACATTCTTGGAGACGAGACCGAAAAGAAAAGTAGAGGGACATAATTTGAGATAATGGTAGGCGAGTGTCTATACTGAACTGTTTATTTGTTTTTTAATTTAGGGAGTAGAGCAATCTTTGCCGCTTGACCTGGCCAAGAAATGTAAGTTTTGAAAGAGAGAGAGTGACATTGTTTTATTATTTCCTCAGTTGATCCGGACGAGATCAAACGTCTGAGCAGGAGATTCAAGCGTTTGGATTTAAACAAAGATGGCTCTCTCTCCCTGGACGAGTTCATGTCAATACCAGAGCTCCAGCAGAATCCTCTTGTAAAGAGGGTCATTGATATTCTGGACACTGATAGAAACGGTGCCATTGACTTTCAAGGTAGATAAACTACTCCTGTCCTTCCTTTTTGATTGCTTCCCATCATTCAGAGTTTATAGAAGGCGTCTCGCAGTTCAGTGTCCAAGGAGAAACGGACAAGAAGCTTAAATGTAAGTATGAGATTATTGTGGAGGAGGAAATTATCTTATGATGTAGCATGATTTACTCTTCCTTCTGCCATAAAAATAGAATAGATATTAATTCTTGTAATTATTGTTTACTGACTTGCTTCCTCTTTGATTCCTCCCCATTGCATTTATTGTGTCTTTCTCTGCAGTTGCTTTCAAGATATACGACATTGACCAGGATGGTTTCATCAGTAATGGCGAACTTTTTCAGGTAACATATGAAACAATTAAACTCTTGTTTTATTTCTCTCTCTCTCTTTGTATTTCCCTGTAGGTTTTAAAGACTATGGTTGGTAGTAATCTGACAGATAAGCAGCTACAAGAAATTGTTGATAAGACTATTTTGTATGCTGACAAAGACAACGATGGAAAGATATCTTATGAAGAGTTTTGTGACGTATGCCATCATCTTGTTACATAGCCTCATCCTCTCTCTCCCTTTAGGTGGTAGGCGGTTTAGATGTTACATCAAAAATGGTTATAGACTTAAAATAATAATATTAATAATAATCATTAATAATAATATCAACCTTTGTTAGCTACTTATTCCATTAAGTCAACGTGTTCTTCTCATTTTTCTTTCTTCTCTCTCTCTCTCTTAAATTAGTGTTAACTTCCAATCATGCATTATTATTATTATTATTGTTGTTATTACTGCTGGTATACTGAGAGATCCTGTCCTAATCTTTATTCCATTGTCTTTATTTTTACAATGTTCAAAGATATTAAATGATAATAGCAGCAAGAGTTGAAGGAATAGCTTGATCTATCCTTGCCCTCTCCTCTCTCTTCTCTTAAATCTCTCTTTCCCATCTGTTTATGTTATTGTGGAAAGAGAAAGTAAATAACAATTGGCTGATAATGCACACACAGACGGGCAAACAGTATACACTGCCCTCTTAATAGAGATCATAACAACAGCTCTACAAATAAACAAATTTAAAGCAACCGTTACATAAGCACACAATTTATTAATAATAAATTTCAAAGATATTGTAGCTATCATCGAGTCTCAATAATACTTCATTTCAGCAAAGAAAATCTTGGCTTCAATGGTGCGGTATTCTTCTTTATAAATCTCATCGTAATGAGGCTGAAGTGCTTCCTTCACGTCAGAGAGCCACTGCGTCATTTTGGGGCGTCCCTCGGCAAGATTGACGCCCATTTTAAGATACTGAGTCACCTCGGATGCATAGAGAAGATCAGCAATGGATATCTCATCTCCGGCAACAAACCTTGTGCTCTTCAAGAAATAATCCTCAACAACCATGACACTTTTCTTGATAGTTGTCTGGGACTGCTCTAGGATAGCTTCTGGTGTGCACTTCCCAGACTTACGAGGCAAGACTGCCTATAGATAATAAATAAATAAATAATGTATTAGCATTCTTAGTGACTTCGGTGTGGTGTGATTTTATGCTTTGTATAAATATCAAAGGCTCTTATCACTTGCTATGTAAGGTATTGCTGTTTCTATGGCAATCTAGGTTTCGTACATTTTTATTATTTTTCTATGGCTTTTGTTTATATTAGCGGCTCGCAAAATGACACTTCAATGCAACAGCGCCAACTCGAAATACCGCCTGTGATTAGTACATATGAAAACTAACACCTGAACAAGTTGTAATAATGCAGCCGAATCTGCTACCAATAGAGAGTAAAGGCGGATTTACAATATGACATTAGGCCAGCGTACCGTCAATTTTTAATCAAAAGCGTGGGCGACTTGACCTTTTGACGCATGCTTTCCGCTGGAATAGAACCAGATTCTATTCCAGCGTCAACGTAACGTCAGGACTAGCGTAATATTGTAAATCCGCCTTAAAGGCGGATTTACAATATGACATTAGGCCAGCGTACCGTCAATTTTTAATCAAAAACGTGGGCGATTTGACCTTTTGACGCATGCTTTCCGCTGGAATAGAACCAGATTCTATTCCAGCGTCAACGTAACGTCAGGACTAGCGTAATATTGTAAATCCGCCTTAACGGTAATTTAGGAGAACTATCATGGGCTAATGCCTAATATTTAGAGTACATGCATGAGACATTATAATAATACCAGGGTTTCCAATAAAGCATGCTAAGTGAGTTGACAAGCACTACAATACAGTACATGGCATTTGGAGCAACTTTAAAAATTCATAAAAAATCCAAATGTGATCTGAATCAGCTCAAACTTTCTAAAACAAAATAAGAACATGCATATGTATTAGGAAAAAATATTAAAATGAAAAATTCTCTCCTTTTGAATTTTGCCAAATTTGGCCTAAGACTGTCTACCGTCAAGAGTATAGCACAAAATTTTTGAGGGCTGTAAATTTTATGGATTTTGCAATTTTTTGAAGATTCGGAAAAATTACTTCCGCAATTATTAAGGCACAAGATGGCAGACGGTATAAAATCACGAAAATTAAAGCCACAAAATAGATGTTTAGGTAAATTCGCAAAATTTCCAGCCCTCAAAAATGTTGTACCATACGGTATAGTACAGTGATCTTGGCCTGATTTCAGAGCAACTTTTTATAATTTGATTGGAATTAGTTCAAAGCTGATACACAACATAATGATAAGGACATGTATATGTATTTTAAATTGAAGAGTTTTCTCCTTGTGATTTTTGTTGAAATACCCTGTACAATAGTACAGGGTCTTTGGCCCAATTTTTGAGCAACTTGACAATCCACTGACATTAGCACTATGCCAAAATCCAATGGGAAACCCTCAATGATACACAACGAATCACTTACTGTTAAATAATAAGCCCCACAGCGTAAATTCTGAGGAAACCAGCCAAGAGCCTCGTCAACCTTCCCTTGCTTCTTTAGATCTTTAGGATACCAGTGGTCAGCCAGACCATGCTTGTTGCATATGTACTTCAGGATTGCAGTACTACATCATGCAATATGAAGTACATTACAAAGCACTTTGCATAAAGTGGTTATAATTATTATGAATTAAAAAGCCCCACCCTTAATTAAACCAATTAGAATTAAACATTCTTTACCTCTCAAATAACGTATATCCATTGTCTTCAATTGCTGGAAGCCTCCTGCTTGGATTAATGGATCCTAGCTCTGGATCGCTCAAATTTTCACCTGAAAGTGTACACGTGGTTAAAAGTAAAAATGCCAAAAGATGGAGGGTGTGGCTGATGCAAACTTACTCTCTTTGAGGCTTATCTTGACATATTCATAGGGTATATTATTAGCAGCAAGGAGGAGCATCACTGCTCTACATGGTGGGGATACTGTATCTGCTAGCAGCCTCAACTGAGCACTCATATTTAAGCTGAAACCTGGGCTGAAGCATGCAAAGAGTTAATTATCTCCAAACATTCACACCCTAGCTAACGCCCACACAATAATTAACCACCCACGTGCATACATGCTTCAAAAATGGCTACTTTTCTATCTCTGCCTTTGGAGGACGTTATTTTCCCTCAGATCCTTTCCCGACTTGCTCCTTTGGAAGTATGGTCACTAAGACTTGTTTCTCGAGACTTCTACTCACTTGTTTACGAATATTATGCTACAAGCTGTCACAGAGTGGACTTTATCAAACTAGAGGAGCTCAATGTTCATATTGTCTGTAGGATATTGACTCACTGCCAGAGACTCAAGCAGCTCAGATTAAATGGTGATTGTCTCAGGCATCATGGTAACAGTAAAACTAAAGGTGACCATATTTTGCTGTCACTGAAAAGAACGAGACCTTCTCTTTCTGTGCTGCATTTACAGTCCTTACTTCTTTCTGGAACAGCAGTTGATATCTTAAAGGATTGTTGCAAAGATATCAAAAGACTCTCACTCATTGACATAACTGTAGAAGGAAAGCCAAATGAGATGAGTAATATAATCAGTGATGATTGCTCATCGTTGGAAGAAATTAGAATTGTTGACTCCTCTTTCTCTCATCACCGATTACAGACAGTATTACCAGAACAAAAAGAATTGAAAATATTAGAGGTACAAAAGACTCTGATCATAACATTATGTCAGACATGGGGTAATGAGTAATAGCAAATATGGTTATGTTATGCTGTATTTAAATCAAAATTTAGCCCATGACCATAGACAGCTCAGTCAAAATTGGCTAAGGGAGAATTCTCCATTTTTTGATATGCATACATGTTTTTTAATGTTATAAAAAAGTTTGAGCCGATTCCAATCAAAATTAGCTTTTTTCATTAATTTTTAAAGTTTAAAAAAAATTATTTTAGCATTTGTAATGTCATTTTTTTAATTTTATTCCCTTGTAGCTAAGCGGATGCCATCATGTCAAGCTTGAATTCATATTCCCTTCCCTACCTTTCCTCCATACACTCTCCTTTAGTCACTTATCCTGGATATCAGACCAAATATTACTGACAGCAATTGAGTATTGTCCATTGACTGTATTGGAGGTCTCTCATTGTCCTCTAGTGACGTATAAAGGATTGCAGATGTTACAAGAAAAAGGAGTAACTGTTATTAGCAATGTATTATCACCCAATGTAATACCAACATCATCTTTTACAATAAACCAGATATAAAAAATAGTTAATAAACTAGGTAGATTTTATAGGTGTGGCTGGTAGAAGCTTGTACTTGTGATTATAAAGATGCCTGTTTTATGCACTCTCATCAAACGATGGCAAGCTACGTTGCAGGCTCTTCAAATGAACAGCAACAGGTTACAAACTACAGGCTACTTATAGACGATATTGCAACAAAACTAACTAGAAAAGATGTCAATTTTTTGACAAAAAGACACCACCTTGAGCTGGATCAATCAGAAGGATTAGATCCAGAGCCAGGCTATGTTCTCCAGTGCATGGAAGACAAAAGAATATTTTCTGCAAAGAATCTTGAGACACTCTCAAACTCATTAAAGAAGATAGGAAGGAGAGACTTGGCTGAATTGATAGTGCAATTTGAAAGTATGTTTTTGTACATTTATAGATAGATATGACTGCTTTTATTGCACTTATTTCAGAAGGTAAATACGTACCTGTCTTGAAAGAACCTAAACAAGTGACAGATAAATCAACAACATCAGTGCATCATCTCATTCACCGGACGGGTAATAGTCGATGGAGCTTTGATACTCCAAAATCTTTTTATCGTACCAGCAGTGAGCAAATGGCGAAGGATTTACAAGACAAGCAAATGGAGTCAGAGATTGAGATTGCACAAGATACTGCAAAAAATTTGCAGAAACAATTAGACTTGTTTCTGTCAAAGTACCAGCTTGTTTTGCCTAAAGATATGAAAACATCTTTTGCCAATGCATTGACTCATGTCAGAGAAGCTAATCATTTACTCAGCTCAGCACAAAATCTTTCACAAGATGTAGCCTCTTCGCACTTTCAACGAAACACAATGAGCCTCTCACTCCCCACAGTTCCCAGTTACTTTCATCCTTCTCAATCACCAGGTGAGTAGAACATGTTAGAATAGTGTAACATAAAGCATGACATGCATGACAATACACTCCCCCTCACTCTCAGTAAATGATACTCAATAAATGAGATGAGAAGATGATGATGCAAGTCAGTTATTAATACAACAGATCAATTATCATAAGGACCACACACAATTTCCTGCTATGTTAGCAGGACATGCATCTAATGAGCCTTGTGTTATTTATATGTTTTACAGGTACACTGCCTGATGTCTCTAACTCACACAATCATACTCAACAACAAGAACAGCCACCAAGGCATGAAAATGACAAGCCTAAAGGTTTTAGACGCCACTAACAAATAATGAACAAAGTTTTGTACATTTGTAACTTTTTGGTCAATAATGATTAAGAATTATTTTAATTTTTAATGTCAAAAAATTGAAAGCTCAATTGCCAAGCATGCATGGCATCAAATTTACATGATAGCTCAGATTTGCATATCTCCATTCATACATACAAACAGCTGTTTTAGACTTGCAGGTGACACATATTTTCATTATGCTACACTTCCTTTCAAAGAGTCGGTTTAGATATATATGATGTAAACTATTGCCATTTTCATAATTCATCCGAAAGATATGGCAACAAGTTTCTCTGCAGAAGCAGATGTCAAATCATATTCTACTTCACCAGAATATAGTCATCACAAAGATTATAAAGCCTTGATCAATAAAATTTCGGAGAAGCTGCTTAGAAGAGATGCAATTCAGTTAGGATATGACCATAACATTCCAAAGTGGTACAGTGAGGTTGGAAATGACTCCCAAGATGCCACCTATACCCATCGTGTGCTCAGTTATATGGAAGGAAAAGATATAATATCTCCTACCAATGTAAGAGAACTTGTGCGCTTCCTAGATAAAATTGAACAAAAGGAGCTATTACAGTTAACAGTGGATTTTGAAAGTACCTACCCATAAGCTTTCATTTATATTGTTTTTTTTGAATAGAAAAACATATTGCAGATAATTGTGGTGAGGCCAACAAGCTAAACCGACCTATTGCATGTGAAGAGGATGTTAGAATTGATCGGCCACTTTCAACTCAGAAAAGTGCTGAAAACATCAGGACACGATTTCTTCCATCTATGAAACGTTCAAGAAGTGATGAATCTCCCTTTTCATTTTCAACCAGAAAGCCTATGATAGCTAATACCAAAACAGGTGCTATATGGAGTAATTCTAACTCTCCTTCAAATCTACTATTGGGGACTTCTCCACCAGTTCGTTTCAGTCAGTCACCAGTTGCTCTTGATCAACCAGATTTAAATCCAACTGATTATCATTCTATAGATTTCTTAAAGCAATTACAAGCACAATTTACTATATCACATGCTGTAGCCTATGCAAAACTGATCAAAGATTTTATCAAGCCAGTAATGCAGGATGATGCCAATTTGCAATCACACGAAAATCTTACAAATGCTTTTTTTAAAATTCAGGAAGTGATTAGTAGCCTAAATGAAGCATCAAATAACCTGGCCATAAACAATAACCCTTCTTCTAATTATGACCACAGAAATCAAGTGGTTTCACAACCTATCTCTATCCCACCTAAGGCTAACATTTCTCCACTTCATAGTGGTGCTTCTGTTATCACTGCCAGCCAAGAAAGTACAGGTAAGCACAAAGTAAAATATGTCCTACTACGGCTTTCATATTATAAACTGTTACATATTTTTATCTTTGTTCATGATAAAATTTTTAATTCAGGTGAACATGAGCTTAGCATGTCTATGGAGAAGCAAAGAACTGCTGATCATCAAGATCCAAGTAGAGATGATTCAACTACAAAAAAGACTAAAAAAGCCAAACAATTCAAAATTTTTAAATAGACTAATAATGCACAAAATGTTGTACACTTGACATTTGTAAGTTTTACTAATTTTTAACGTTACAGATCTTTAAAAGCTCCTTTCTCTCTTGCCAAGTACACCATAGCATGCACAGCATCAAACTTAGGTGAGAGCTCAGACTTACATCTCTCCATCCAATCATTCAAATGAGGTCTGTCCTTCAGCATATCAAGATCAGCCATGTAGAACTGGGTAAATTCACAAGCAGCTTGTATGTCAGCAATTGATATCTCTTTACTGTTGATGAATGGAGTATCCTTAAGGTAGTAATTCTCAATTAGGTTCATGCTCTTCTGTAGCATGTTATACGCCTCTTCAACATTTTTCTCCTCCGGCTCTTTACCAAGCATCTTTTTAGCAATATACTATAACAACAAAATCCATGGATTATTTTATAAATAATCTAATACAAAATTATGTAAAAAATCCAATGATGCAATAGTATCATGTCATATATATGGAAAGGTGATAGGTCTGTGTCCAGGTATTAATATGCATCATTTCCCTACCTTCATGAACATATAGCCAGCAGCTCCCATTCTCAAATTGCCCGTATGCCAGCTAAGATATTCATCAATTTTTGCTCTCTTGCTCATATCGCTTGGATACCAGTGATCAGGTAATTGGTATTTACTTACAATATATTTCATAATTGCAGAGCTGCATCATTACAGAGCAGGGAAGGAGGAATAGATTCAACTTTAATAAGAGTATCATCAATACCTTTCAAATAAATAGAATCCATTGTCATCAATTGCAGGGACTGTACCACTGGGGGCAACTTCTAAGAAATCCTTTCTTGTATGCTGGTCACCTTTTCATGATACAAAATCAAACATTAATTTTATATAAATTAAAATCTGCAAATACCTACCACTGGCAATGTTCACTAGCGAGGGAACAAAAGGTATTGCATTTGTCTCTAGTAAAAGCCACACTGATCTAGATGGCTGAGAAAAAGCATCAAAGAAAAGCTTAAGTCCAGACATGTTTCTGGTTCAGATTTAGCCACACCTCCAAGACAAGCAATCAAATTAATCAAATCTAAAATCTCATTCAAAATAATTTAATTTATAAATAATTCATTAAAATTATTATTTATAGTTTACTATTAAAAGTTCCTTTCCCTCTAGCTCTGTACAGCAAAGCATGAGCTCTGTCAAAAGATGCACCGAGAGTTCGTGTGCATCTATCCATCCATTCCTTTAATTTTGGACTCTCTCTCAAAGGATCTATCTCTCCTTCCACTATCCACAGCTGAGTCAGTTCACACAATGCTTGAAGATCAGCCACTGTAATCTTGTGACTATTAATGAATGGGGTGTCCTTTAGAAAACGGCTCTCAATCATCTTGACACTTTTTTGTAGCATCTTCTTTGCATCTTTAATTCTCTTCTCATCATGTACAAGCCCCATCATCTTTTTACCAATGTACTAGAAATAGAAATAATAAAACATCAGCCCTTCTTCTAACAAAATAGTGAATATGATTTAAGGTCAGCACCTTGTGGAACATGTAAGAGGCAGCTCCATTCCTCAAGTTATCAGTGTGCCAACTGAGATACTCATCGATCTTTGCTCTTTTACGTATGTCTTTAGGATACCAGTGATCAGGTAGCCTGTACTTAGAAACAACATACTTCATTATTGCAGCACTGGAGTGAGAGAAGAGAGAGGGTATGTGAATGTGAATGAGTGACTGACAATGGTGAACCTTTCAACTAATTGAAATCCATCATCATCAATAGCCGGAACCTTACCAGCTGGTGACACTTTACGAAACTCTTCCTTAAACCCATCCCCTGGAAAGAATAGAAGGGGAAAATTAAAATTAATTATAAATTAGGCTAAAAACCGCTCTACCTCTTGCCAAGTTGATCAAACAGGGTTCATAAGGAACATTATTAAACTCCAGGAGAATCAGCAATGCCCTGCATGGCTGAGAAAATGAGTCATAATAAAACTTCAGCATTTTTCAGAAACCTCTTCAAGCCAAAATAAGACCACGCCCATTCAGAGGTGTGGCTGAAGTTGCAGTATGCTTCCTTTGGTTTTGCTCTTTCTAATTTTTTCTTTTCTCTTTGCAATTTTTCTCCTCTCAGACTGTGACCTTGTCTTGCTGTATCATTCCTATTTTAAGGGCAGAGGGACACTGACTAGTAAATTTGGTGGTAAAGTTGTGTGGATCACTGGTGCTTCATCAGGGATAGGGGAGAGCCTAGCATACCTCCTCTCCTCCAGTGGAGCTAAACTGATCCTCTCAGCAAGAAGAAAGAATGAACTGGAAAGAGTTTTAGAGAAATGTCAAGGTTTGTACTTTGCAATAATATCCAGCTATTATTGGCCTTGCCAGCAATTAGTGTGGGCGAGGAATATGTAGTTAAGTATGGTGTCATTCATTCATTCATTCATTCATTCTGTCCAGAAGCAACTCTTTCTTTTTCATTATTTATTTTATTGATTTTATGTAGCTCTCTCTCCCCTTGACAATAAAAACTCTCACTCTATACTCTGTCTTGACTTATTGCAGTACGATGAACATGAGAATCATGCTAAGAGAGTCATTGAACAATACGGGAAGGTAAACATTAATATTGCATCCTACTATTTGGAAGCAAATAATTATTTATAAATATTCGTAAAAATTTAAATTTGATCAAAATCAACTCAAACTTTCTACACAGCATAAAAACATAATATTATGCATCAATAAAATAGAAACTTCTCTTAAAACCATTTCAACAAAATACCCTGTGTCTTTAAAAACTTTGGTTAGCTCTCTTTCAAATGTCTCCTTTTCTTACTCTATAGGTCGACTTTCTAGTTAATAATGCTGGTCTCTCACAGCGTAGCGTTGCTGTAGAAACAAAGCTTGAAGTCCCTAAATATTTGCTAGACTTGAACTTCTTTGGCACAATCAGTTTAACTAATGCAGTCCTACCTTACATGATGAGAGAGAGAAGTGGCTGCATTGCAATAGTCAGTAGCATTGCTGGAAAAATTGGTAAAGAGAGTTAGTGCATCATTAATTTTATCATTCCTTTTTTCATAAAGGAGTGCCATGTTCTACTGGTTATAGTGCTAGCAAGCATGCTTTGCAGGTCTTTGGTGTTATAATTATATTAGAGGATGAAATTTTATTCAATTTTAGGGATATTTTGATGGATTGAGGATTGAAATGCAAAGCTCAGGCATCAGTGTAGTCAGTGTGTGTCCTGGTGCAACAGGAACCACTGACTCTAGGACTGTCCTTGGAACTGCATTAGATAAAGTATAACAGCAGATCAGTTAGCTATTACTGATATAACTCTTGTGCTTTGTTGTTACAATAGAGCACTAGTCCTCTTCCTTTCCAATCCAGAATGTCAGTTGAAAGATGCTCTTATCTTATTGGGGTTGCTATGGCTAATGAGTTGGAGGAAGCATGGATTTCCCAGCATCCGCAGTTATTGTACACGTACATCAATCAATATGCACCATGGACAGCTAAGAAGTTAGTATGAGGACTATTGTAATAATCTTTTAAGCCTCTTTCTCTCTCTTTCTATAGATTAGGCAAAACTGTAGGCCAGAAAACGTTTGAAGCTAACAAAAAGACAAATTCTACATGATGATTATGATTTACAGGCACTATAGCCCAATTATAGAATGTTCTTCCTTTTATTAATTTTTATGTGTGTATCTTAGATGTAAACTTTGTTCTTTTTCTGTGGTTTGTCGTTTAGACAAATGAACAAAGGCTTGATGGTCACTAGGAGCTGTACAAGGTCTTCTTTCATTGTCTTTTCAAACTCTTTCTTTTTTAGTTTAATAGGCATAGGCAGGATGACTTCCTTCTCTTTCACTTGCTTCCTTACCTAAATAAAACCGACATGTAAATCATAAAATAATTTAATAAGTACTAGTAAAGTAGTTCTGACCTGATAAGTGAATTCTGCTAAATGAAATTGGTATAATTTATCTTCTACTTTTATCAATCTTCCACGTATGCTGAAGTTTACACCAGGACTCTGAGGAATATTAAATTAAAAATTATACAATACAATTTAATCTGATCGGTCTCACTTTAAGTGATGATGGGCTCGTTTCTTTGGTGGCTCCAGCAAAATTGAAATGAATTGGATAATTAGGATCCAAAAGCTCCTCAATATCACCAGCCTAAATTAATACAATGTAAGTATGATTGTGTTTTAAATTATTTTCACTAATTACTTCATCAGTGTCTGTTGTGTCAGTGTCCAGTCCTAACTCTTGGTTACTCTCACTGTCACTTATAATAATTTTTCCATTTTCATCTGTTAATAAATAAAATACAAATAAATTGCAATTTTGAGTCAAAAATGATTACGTCAAACACCCCGGTATAATATTATTATTCTGATTTTTGAGTAATGGGCATCTAAATGTATTTTAGCGCATTCTTAGTGTATGTTCTTTCTTTACCCTTTATCTCAAAATCGACTACCATCTTTTGCTTTATGCCTCTAGAGAAGTCATCTACCATAAGGTAAGTGTCTTCCTTTTTCTTTTGTTTCTCGGCTTTCTTCCTCCTATACTCTTTGAGTCTCCTCTGTTTCCTCCTCTTTCTCATCAGCCATTCAAATAATATCTCTAAGATCCACCACAATGGAAGGAGTGGGCAGTAAATAAAGAAGAATGTTGCCTTGATTATCTCCATAATGTCGTGAGTTGTTCTATAATAAAAAGATTCAAATGACAACACGAAGCATAATGATATGCAGTTACTTTACTACACAGGTACAAGTGTAAGGTTTCTCCCACCAAGCAGTTACTTCAAAGTCCTTTGCCTTTTGCCTCTTCAACATTCTCAGGTGTTTCCTATGCAGTCTCCTAGCCTTTTTGGCACCTGAGCACATACCATCACAGGTCCTTGGTCTCTGGGCTCCACTCTCCACCACGTCCTCCTGTCCAACATGGCGTGAGGTGTCTTTACCACTAGTCAGCTTTGAGGCCTTCCAGGCTGTATTGAGAGCTGTTTTAGTACAGCAGATGCAGAAAGCAGAACAGCAGAGTGAAACACACCTTGACATTGCACCACAACATTGGTTCATTGCTGGTAAAGCAATTTGACCTGAAAAAGACATTATGAATGCTAGTAGTATGTTGTGTGTGTGTGTGTGTATAAGTATAACCTTAGACTTACCAGCAAATATCAATAGTGATACTTTAGCTAGTCCAAGGAGTATCAGTACTACTGCTATGATTGCAAATAGAATGAGAGCTCCAAAATGTGATGAAAACCAATCAGTGATGTCACTTAGCCATTCAAGATTGAGCCCTTCAAAATCATAATCGAGACCAAAGTCAATGGGAGAGAACTGATCAGGAGACTGGAATTCAGGAGGAGGCGGGCAATCTGAGATATTGTTACCACACTATAAAGAAAGAGAGGAAATTCGAATACACATGCACATGTAAGATATTTACTGAGCAGCCACAGTATCCATAGCAGAAACAAGTGTCTAGTGTTTCAAATATAATTGTAAGATTATCCAGAACCTCTGCAGATTGATCCAGCAATTGAACTAAAAAAAAGAGAGAAATTTGAAGTGTACAAGAAATTCGAAGTGTGCAAGTATACCATTCAATTACAGCATTATACATTATAATCAAAATTGATAGTTTCGCAGTTATTACTTTCACAATTGTTAATCTGTCCTAGTGAATTGAACGAGTGAACAACAAATGATACATTGGCCTGTTCCCCTGGATCCAGAGTCAGTATTTTAGCTGATATCCAGTCTATACCAGACGAGCAATGGCTCACTGAGACTTCATAAGTTGCAGTCAAAAACCCAATATTCTGTATGTATACCTGGAGTAGTCCAGTGGAGCTTAGAGCTTCAAAAGAATCAATGTATGCTTCTAATATTCTTGCAGGAGATCTGCATAAAACATAAATATGAATGGTATAAGTTCTTTGTACATCCTTACTTATTAATTACTAGTCTAAGGTTGTCTGCTTGCATTGATATGGTAATGAGTGAGCGTTGTATTCTCTGAGCAATGAAGTTGAGTTGATAGTCCGTGGCATTGATCCTGTAGCTATTTTTATGCACCTCACCAAAGCCATGGAGCATGTAGAGAGGCTTCAGTCCAGATTTTACCCTTTCCTGGATGCATAGAAATAATTATAAAGCTATTATCCTAATGCATGTACATGTAAAAATTACCTTATCTCTCTCCCAAAAGTGATAAGGCTGGCCTTGGAGGCAACTGATGGAAAGGAATAAAATTATCTATTATTAAAATTGTACATATACCTTCCAAAAACATTAGAGCATCTATCGGTCTGATGAGTAAAAGCTGAATAGCTGACACCAATTTTATTGCAGTGATAGCCAGAGAGAGCAAAGTGCTCTTTACCAACAAGTAGCCATTCTGACATGTTGTATAAAGAGTCCAACTGGCCAGAGGCTATAGCATCCGATACCCAATCAGAGGGAAATGTCTCGATGTTAGAAATGTCTGGAACAAGAAGGTACTTGTGATTGAGGACTTGAATGAAATCGCTAGGATAAAAGTCTGCAATGTATTCGGCTCGTATCTATATTAAGAAAAATTTTCTATGCATAAAACTTTGGTAAAGAACTTACAGTTTTATCTGTTGAGGACCTTATTCTACGCGTTGGTGATAGCACTAAAGTATCAAGTCTCTCATAGACCTCTTCACCACTCAGAGTACTATATGAAACCTTTTTAAAAATAATTGCATTAATAACTGCATGGTTCTTAATATTACCTTATCAATTTCAATCGTAATGTTAAAGACAAATTGTGCAGGATGTAGGCCAAACACAAAATCACTAGAAAATAGAATAGAAAATAGTGACCGATAAAAATTAACTCTCTTTTTTATTTACTATAATGGATCAAATTCCAAGCAGTGCCCAGGATTGCTTCCTCTGTTGCACCATTTCGACTCTCCTCTCTCATACGCATTATTACTTGTACTACAGGAACAGCAGAATCCCTGCACAAACAAGGAGCCATTATATGGGCACTTAGAGTTAATCCTCTTACTTGACTATCAAATATTCTTCTTCCGTTTTTAGTCTTAAAACCACAGGCAGCTTCATCCTCATTGCTGTACCAGTCATGACGACATCGCCCCTTCTTCTTGTATACCATATTTTCATATGGTTTATGATTAACATACTAAAAAAATAATACAGTTTCCTTCTCTCTCTCTTAATTTTAACTTACTCCAATTCCATAGAGTCTATAGTTAATGAAAACTGGAGATTTAGTTACAGTAATCCTAACGGGAGTCTTGAGCTGAACGTTTTTCTTAACTGTTGCATCGTGAACGCGACGAATATCAGCTCTGATGTGCTGTGACCTACCCTACAAAAATACTAATTAAATTTGTTATTATCACTATTAAAAACTAATAATATCAAGCTAAAATATTAATAATGAGAACCAGACGATAACATTTATGTTATTGTCTGGTTCTCATTATTAATTTTAGCTTGATGATCATCTTTCGTATGCTTCAAATATACTATTGTAGTAAATGATCATAGTTGTCATGATGGCATACTTCATCGGCTTGAACAGTCAATGCCACAACAAGCTTCTTTTTACAGGCCGTCCCGTTTGGTTGGAATATCTCGCCACTACCATCATTGATGCACTCCCTAATGGAGCTTACTGCGGTTATTGAAGAGGAAGAGAGGAGGAAGAGAGAGGAGACTGAGAGGAAAAGGAGAAGTGTTTCTTTTGGCGTCATCGACGCGTGTTGGCACGTGGCGAGAGTGGCCGGGTGTGAGCGGAAACCCCGGGAAACTAAACCAATACAACAAGATGGCGGATGAGTCTTCTTTTGATTTCAGCTCTTGGAACTGGAGAAAGGAAGGAAGGAAAAGAAAGACAGAGGCAGAGGATGACGTGGAGATAGTAATGATAGAAAAGAAAGTGAGAGAAGGCCCACGAGTGAACCCTAATGACATCAAGTTTGAAAATGATGATGATCTGGACTATGCCATTGCATTATCACTCCAAGAAACAGAAAATAAAAAAGCAAAGAGACCAGACTATGCAGCTCACCATGTTACCAGTCCTTCCTTACTAAGTACATATGATCCAAGATCCATCGTAGACGAGAGATGGGAACTTGAAGACCCTCATCCTAACATACACGAACTCTTTGTACAGTTTGATGCCATGTTCTTTGAGCGGAGGCTAATTAATGCGGGCGTGGCTGTCTCATGGGGACCAAGAATGACACTGTTAGTGGGCAGAGTCTAAAGCAACTATGCATTTACATGTACATGTATACTATGCATAATAAGACGTATAAATGGATTATACATTTTAAATAATAAAAATAGCATGAACATGTATTATACTCTAATTCTATTTCTTTGAGTTTAGTCTTTATTCTTTGTTCTCTTTCCTCCTCTAACCCTGCCACTCCTCTCCCTCTCTCTCTCTTTCTTATTCCCAGGTGTGCTGGTTTGTGTTATTACCAAACCAGAGCTGGTTTTTGTTCGATAAAGTTAAGCGAGCCACTTCTCAAATTAAGACCCAGGAGAAACTTAGTGGAGACACTATTAGTAAGAAAAATTAATATTATAATGAATATTTTTGCTCTCCTCTTTCCTGTTAGCATGAGATGATACATGCTTTGCTGTTCGTTACATCAAATAACAAAGTAAAGCAAGCCACTAAGGATGCCCCTAGTAATCATCTTCTAATTAATAGGACAGGGAATCCCATGGGCCTGAATTCAGAAGTCACATGGAGAGAATTAATAAAATGACTGGAGCTAAAATAACAGTACGGCCATAATGAGAGAGAAATTTTGATTATTATTTCTTCCTTAGGTATATCATTCGTTTCATGATGAGGTAAGTAAGTACTGATCTCATTATGTCTTCTCTTTCATTCCTCAGGTACTCCTCTAGGTTAACCTGTACAGACAGCACTGGTGGAAATGCAACGGACCTTGTCAAAACAGAAAACCATTTTTTGGAATGGTACGACGATCCATCAATCGAGCGCCTTCCAAGAACGACCACTGGTGGGCGGAACATCAAGCAACTTGCGGCGGGACTTTCATTAAAATTAAAGAACCTGAGAATTATTCTGCTAATAAGAAAAAATATTCAAAAAAGGAGCACGTGAAATCAAGAGATCTCAAAACTATGCTTGATTCCTCCTATAGTAAATCCCATACTCATACCACAGAGAATGAGACTGATTCTGGTACTGGAATGGAAGTTATTGATTTGGTGCCCGAAGATGACTCTGTGAGAGAGAAACGAGAGAAGATGCTAAAAGCAGCCGAAAAAAGATTATTAAAATCGGCAAATAACAGCCCTAGAGACATTCGAAAATTTATGGCCACACCTAGCAGCAAGACGACAAATAAATCCACCCTTAGCAACCAACAATCTACTAGCAATGACATTCTTAAAACTGAATCTACCTCTATTAATAATAGCCAGGCAAGTGGGAGCGGTTTGATCAGTCGAACTGATAATCGTCTCTGCCCAGTTTGTGGACGGAATGACATACCAGCTGCCACACTGAATGCTCACATAAGCTTTTGTCTTGAAGAAATGGAACTGTCAGGATCTGATGATAATGAATGAAAGATACAATGCATTCAATGAGAGAGAGAGAGAGAGTACTCAGAATATAATCACCATGTCTTTATACTTATTGTTGTCATTATTGTTATTGAATCTCTACTAAATTAATCAATTATGACTATTATTAGATTAAGCTAAAGCCATACAAATCCCTGATAATTAGGGCACTTGGGCAGTACAAAACAAACTAAGGGGCGGTTGCAACATTGCATGCCTAAGTATGTTGTTCTAGTGCAATGGACTAAAATTTATGATTGAAAACAGCACAGTTTGTCCTAATTCGTTCAGTATTGCCTTTATTCAGTAACTTCAAGTTCTGATTCTTAAGCGAAACAGCTCATGATTAATCTCTCTTTTTTGTTTGAAAAAGATTGATTTGAAGGTAACATATCAAAAACACAATTCAATTCATGGCAAACACATGTATACATGTACTATAAAACTTAATGTGTGTGCATTGGTGGTAAAAGATTGATTTGAAGGTAAGATACCAAAAACGCAATTCAATTCATAGCAAACACATGGCATACATGTAGCTACTACAGAACATAGTGTGTGTTCATTGGTGCCAGTGGTGGAAACTGCATCATATGTGGCATTGGTGGTGGGTTTATTGGTGGTGGTTGCAGTGGTGGTTGTATGAGTGGCTGTATTGGTAACTGTATGGGTGGCTGCATGAATGGTGGGTACATCATGGAGGGTCCATATGTCAAGGATGGTGGATCATAAAACGGCGTGTAGCTTGTATAACGAGTCCTTTTTCCTTTATATCGATGTTGCTTCTGTTGATATTGCTTCTGTACTCGTCTCCTATAAAAAGCATTACTAGTTTGCATGCAAAGATGACGGATCTTACTTTTTATTTAGCTGCAGTGAAACCTCTTTTTTGATGAATTTGATCTCTTCGTTTTTCTTTCGCTCTTTTCTTTCGTTCTCCTTTCTGTCCCTCTCTCTTCTTTCTTGTCTCTTCTTCTTTTCTTTTTCCTCTTCCTGCTCTTTCTCTCTTTCTTCCTCTTGTTTTTGTCTTTGCTTTCTTTCCTCTTCCTTTTCTTGCTCTCTTCTTTCCTCCTCTTGCTTTTTCTTTCTTTCTTCCTCCTTTTGATCCTCAAGCTCCTTATCTTTTCTTTCCTTTTCTTTTCTTCTTTCTTCTACATCAAAAGGTGCAAAGCTAGGACCTTGTCCCATGTTTGATTGCAACTGATTTCTGCTAGAACAGTAACAGTAGAAGTAGAACCAACTATGCAAGACATACAATTGCACATGAACAGTTAAAAAAATTGATTTTTTGCAGCCTATGTTTTATTCATGAATGAATTTATAACTGTATTAAATATTAATGTTATTGCTGTGATAAATTGATGATGTCTGATTCATATATGTAATAGCCTAAGGGTATAGCTGCTGTCTGTGTCAGTAGATTACGGAGCAGTCTCTTGTGTGCTTGTATACTGTAACGTTCCTCATCATCGTTTGTCAAGTACTGGAGCTCCCATGATAAATTCGACCATACACCTTTGAGGGCTGATGGATTTAGTTGCAAAATGTGAAGCAACTCGTCTTGTAAGCTCAGAATGTGAGCAGAATAAGAACTCTATAAAAGGAGACAATGTATCAAAATTGGGTGCTTTTAATCAATTCTGATAACAATAAAAGTCATTGAAATTATGCGGCATCACTATTTCTATTGCATTATTGAATTTGAGCTGATTCCGATCAAACTTGAATTTTTTACGAAATTTTCAAGTTACTCAAAAAATCTTGCCAAAATTGAAAAGGAAAGAATTCTTAATTTTTATAATTTTTCTGATATGCATACATGTTCTTTCATTGCTTGAGCTAATTTTGATCAAAATTGAATTAAAATTTTTTTTAATTGCTTCAAAATTTTGCTAAAACTATTAAGGAGACCAGTTAAATTAAAAATATTAAAAATTCCTGCATACATGAAATGTATTTTATATGTGTTATTCCACTTACAGTCTCCTGGTCATAGTCCATTGAAAAAAGGTGAGGCTTCTGAGAAAGGACAGCATCTGCCCACTCACCCTCATCTTCATTCCCAATGTACCAGTCAGTATCATAACCTGATAGATAGTCGGAAAATAATTCTTCATTGTCACTTGGTTCGCCAATAGCAGCCTCATCATAAAGTAGCTTAACTGCATATCTATCAATAATAATAATAATATCAATAATAATAATAATAACAATAATAATAATATGTTCTTTAATACCTAAATGCTTTAAGGGATATATTGCTGAGTAATCTGTTTGACTGCAACCATTGAATGTTAGACTCTGAAGTTAAAACTGCATTACTAAAAGCTCCATTGAATCCTTTGTACAACTGATAGGGACTAGGGACACTAGTAGTAGAGGAGAGAGAGCTGGTGATGATGCTAAATAGAGCTGAAGTCAATGATTTTATGTTCGCTAGTTGAGGAAGAGTCAGTTTCTTTCTCAAACTGAATCTATCAAGTAAATAATCATGCCAGGATTGTGGTAGCCTGGTGTCTATGATGACAGCTATTTCTCTACTAGATAATGGGAGAGAAGGAGGGAATGAAGAAGTATTAGTAGCTTGATGTAATGGCGTCACTCTATTGCTTCCAGGTCTCATGAAAGAAGACTCACGAACATTCGCACCTCTCACTAAATTGGGTGAACCAATGATAGTATCAGTTCTATCAGTTGGTGCTCCTTTCGGTGCCAAGAAAGCTTGTCTCAGTGACTCAATATCAAGTGAATGTTGGGATCCTTCACCTACTAGCACACTTGATACATGAACTGAGCTGCCTGCATAAGTACTGCCTGAAACAATGGGCTCTCTCCCTCCTTTGTTAACACGAGCCTCGGTCTCTCTTGTGTTTAATATAATATCAGGGAACTGCTTTGAATCCGATAGACAATACTTGAGAGTCACATAAATGAGAGTTTTAAAAAAATTGTCGTAAAATTTAGCTAAATAAGCCGGCTGGTCGATAATTCCAGAGAGAGAATTCCGTGCATCCGAATAAACTTCAGCTACATATGCATCCACTGGAGCAAAGACATTAAAGAGATGAGGATTACAATAAAAAGAGAGAGAGGGACAGTTTGATGTATAAGCTAAGTCGATAGCTTCATCAAGCCTTGCTACTTCAATAGCATGACAAGACGTCTCCTGTAACTCTAGCCCCAAGAGTGAGAGGATCTGATACCCATATCCTCTCTCCAGGAGCTGAGCCAGTACAGTCCTATCTTGAAACCTTATAAGCCAGACCTCCCCAAGCCCATTGCTTGCTCCTCTAGTAAGAGTATTAGTAATACTGAGTGTTTCAACTATTCCAGTCTTTGCTTGCTTGTAGAATACTCCATCGAGAGACTCTGAGCTAAAAGACCGACGAAAAAGGCGAGGCCAGTAAAACAAAGGTCGAGGCGAGACTGGAAGTAATATAGGGAGGGTGAAGAGAGGAAGGAGAGGGGAGGAGAAGAGAGAGGAGAGAAGCATGAACAGCAAACTGAATGGTAGGAGAAGAAAAGTGAGGAAGAGGGTTAGTGAATGCTTTCGTGTTCTCAGTTTTGAATCAAATAACAGTCCGAGTAGAAGAATAAGATAAAAATGAAGATTGCAACGAAAGTTTGAAAAGACTAGGAGACCATAACCAACAATGACTGCCCTGACACCAATAGGAAGAATAATCCAGGAATTATTATTAGAGACATAAAATAAAGAAAGAGAGAGGATGGCAGTCAGAGAAAGCTCATGCAGTGCACTAACTGTATCCTGCCAAATCTGAAATGAAAAAGATAAGGACAATTGTACATGAACATAAATAAATTATACAAAAAGAGAGTGGTTGCAATACCTTTCGTAAAATTCTCAAAGTTGCTACAACAAACACAATTGAAGAGGAACTGGTACTACTTTCAATGTTAAATCCAATATAGGTCACCATGCACAATGGGTATACTAAAAATATTAAAAATAAATGTCACTTCTCTATTCATTACTCTCCTACCATAAAGGAGCAAGTATTGTCTAGGGCCCCCTGTAAAAAAGAACAGTCTCTTTCTCTTGTCCTTCATTACTTTACTTGAGTCTCTTTCTCTTGGATGCAATGGATTCCTTACTCCACCCAAGGACTGGAAGCAATAAAGAGAAGAGGAAAGTTTCAGTACCTCCTCAAAAACTGCTAAGATAATAATTCCGATGCTGCTATACAGTTCAGTGTTTGACATCAACCTCCTTTCATTTGTACTTGTAGAATTGTTCCACATATCAATATCAGTATCAGGTCCAGTGTCCATAGTGTAATATAGGATCAAAGACAAAGCTATCATGAGAAGTGATGTCCTTTGTATTTCACTGGAATACTTTACAACATAGTTCTTCACATTTAAGTGTATCTCTCTCATAATAACAAGCAGGTGGAAGCTGTAATGAGACGAAGAGATGCAGGAGGCGTCTTTGTGGTGATGTCTACAGCTGCAAAGAGCTCTTACTGAGTCTGCTAAGAATTGCAATAAGTTCAAACTGAGTAAGAATCCAAGTAATCCTGAAGCAAGTATGCCAGCTGTGTTGGTATAAAATGCATTGAGGAGTAAAATGATGCCAATTGATACTAATGTTAGAAGGAACTGACACAATAATCTATTGGAAAAGGGAAAAAGATCTCATTCTCACAGTAAAAAATGACAAAATAATAATTCCCACATCCTTTTCTCTCTCTCTCTTGCCTAATCTCAGAAGGAGCTACAGATCCTCCCGTTAGTATGACTAGACTTTGTTCAAGAAGGTAAAAGAGGAGAGAGTCTGGAGATGGCAAGACTCCAAGAGCCCAAAGGAGAGGCAAGGAGAGGAAACACACATAAAGAACATAAAAGAATACCAAAGGGACATTGAAAATATATCTATAAAAATAGAAAAATTTAATGAAAATATACATGAACATGCTGTTGATGATCATAATATTATTAATCATAGGGTTAGTTATTACTTTGTTAAAATAAGAGTGAACCCAAAGCAGAAGACATAGAAAGACCTGCTGATGAATCTTAACTGAAATACTCTATCTTGCTCCACATTTCTGTACACATTGAAATCAACTGGTGGACTAACAAGAAGTGAATAGTGTCCAGTACAGACACACACCCATCCTAATACATGTACAAGTACTGCAACCCCAGTGGGCATTATATCACGCATCAGACCAACATCCAATAAAACAAAACTAGTAAAACCAGTCAATCCAGATATGATCAAATGGAGAATTAGATTGGGCGGAGTTTTTAGAGCAAAGACATAGGAAAGGACACTTGAAAATGAGTGAATGTCTTCGTCTTCTTCAAATGTTTCATTTTGTTTTTTGACGTAAACTGCATTAATTTTAATTATCATGCTAATCGTAAATGAAACGAGGCCCAGGATCCCTCCATAAATCATTCCTAAATAAAGCCCACTCCATGGTACGAAGGAGAGACCGGTCAGCGGAAGGGAGAGGAGGAAGGGTAGTAACCATAGCAACGACTGGATCACGTGACAGGAACAAGGGAGTCCCCTTTTAAATTGGATTCCACCAGAGATTGTTTGAAGGAGTCGAGAGAGTAACAGAGAGTTCTTGTACTCGTTCAGTAGTGGGGCCACAGTCTCAGGCATCTTGTGACGACCACGCGATCCTTCTCAGTAGCTGTAGCTCTTCTTCTTTCGTGGGCCGGGTTTTGCCGCCTTTTGGCGGGCAGATCTGTTATGTTTGTTGCTATGGAAATGAAAAAATATTGAAACACAGAAACAGTAGAACGGTTAATTAGATCACAATTTGGAAAGAAAAATTAGAAAGTTTATTCGTATAATTAGAAAATAACAAAATCTTTCTCACTTTTCTTCTCACTTTCCTTCTCGCTTTTCTCCTCCACTCTCTCTCTTTCTCTCTCTTTTAGGTAGACTATGAGCGGCCTATCATTGGGTGCATGTGACGGCAGAGACTTTTGCCGCTCCTCTATTCGCGACTCTACGATTGGCATTAACTTTGATGCACTAGGTGAGGTTGAACATTATGAACATGTTTCTGGTGACCTTTTTGACCTCTTGAAATCCGGTGAGCACACAGACGTTACGTTTGTAGTGGGCGGGGTCAGGTTCCCAGTTCATCGCGTTATACTGGCCTCAAGGTGTACTTTCTTTTCCGTTTTATTGTTTGGAGATATGAGAGAGGCCCAGCCTGGTAACAACGAGATAACGTTACAAGATGCAACCCCGGAGTCTTTCAGGGCACTGTTAGAGTACATATACTCTGGGAAGGTCTGTCTGGGGGATTTACCTGAACAGGTAAAGCATCCAATGAGATAATGTGTACATGCACACCTCATTAATGTTAAAATAATAGTTTATTATTATTATTTATTTATTAAATTACCTGCAGGTCATATTAGATCTCCTTGGCCTATCAAACAAGTATGATTTCAGTCACCTCCAGTCCTCCATATTGGCCTATCTCAAAGCCACACTCAGTGTCCACAATGCCTGCATTATTTACAATGTAGCCAACTTCTATCAGCTCTCTGACCTCTGTTTGGCCTGTGCTTCCTATATTGACATCAATGCTCAGGCAGTCATGAGAAGTGAAGCATTCCTTTCCATCTCTCATCAGTCGCTGGTGGAACTCGTGTCTAGGACCTCTTTCTACTGCCCTGAACTAGAGGTAACGAGGAATACAAGACATGATATGTAGCAATGATAAAATTAATAGCAAAAAGATATTGATAATAATCTTTCTCATTTATCATTATTATTACTATTACTATCAAACAAGAATCAGAAGAGAGAGAGAGAAAATTTGGAAAAGGGAGAGAAACCCATATCACAAAATGAATTATTATTATTATTATTATTCTATTATTCAAGGTATATTTTGGAATAAGGAGGTGGCTGGATAATAATGAGGTCTCCAAAGATGAAGAGAAGAATATACTGAAAATAGTCAGACTGGAACTGATACCGATGAGCAGTTTGCTGGGTGAAGTGAGAGAGAGTTCCCTCTTTGAAGCTAATGATATCCTTGACGCCATTGCTATGATTAACAAGAAAAATATGATTGAGCTTAACCAGAGGGGCTTACTCCGTAAGTGTATTGTAGTATAGTATATAAGGTCTTTGGCCTGATTTTGGAGTATCTTTAAAAATTCATAAAAAATCCAATTTTAATCGGAATGAGTTCAAACTTTCTATGCAACATAAGAACAGGTATATGTATCAGAAAAAATTATTAAAATGGAAAATTCTCTCCTAGTCATTTTTGGCAAAATTTGGCCAATGACCCTGTACTATAGTACAGGGACTTTGGCCCGATTTTGGAGTAACTTTAAAAATTCATAAAAAATCCAATTTTAATTGGAATAACCTCAAACTTTCTACACAACATAAGAACATGTATATGCATCAGGAAAAGTCATAAAAATGGAGAATTCTCCCCTAGCCATTTTTGGTGAAATTTGGCCAAAGACCCTGTACTATAGTACAGGGACTTTAGCCCTATTTTGGAGTAACTTTAAAAATTCATTAAAAAATCCAATTTTAATTGGAATAACCTCAAACTTTCTACACAACATAAGAACATGTATATGCATCAGGAAAAGTCATAAAAATGGAGAATTCTCTCCTAGCCATTTTTGGTGAAATTTGGCCAAAGACCCTGTACTATAGTACAGGGACTTTAGCCCTATTTTGGAGTAACTTTAAAAATTCATTAAAAAATCCAATTTTAATCGGAATGAGCTCAAACTTTCTACACAACATAAGAACATGTATATGTATCAGGAAAAATTATAAAAATGGAGAATTCTCTCCTAGCCATTTTTGGCGAAATTTGGCCAATGACCCTGTACTATAGTACAGGGACTTTAGCCTGATTTTTGAATAACTTGAAAAATTTATAAAAAAATCCAAACATGATTGGAATCAGCTCAAAGTTGATGAAGTACCCTAGCTGTGTTATAATATAGTACAGTGCCTTTGGAAGCAACTTTAAAAATCTAGCTCAAACTTTCCAGTGATTTTCCCATTAAATCGCTCTTTTCAATGAATAGTACCAGAGGAGAATGTTGCGACAGTGCAACATGATGCCACAGTCTCAGACAACCAGACAATCTTGCTCAGCGGCGACACTGAGAGCTACACTGGAGACCATGGGTACGCCATTCACACTATAACCCGTAACGGACCGTCAAAAGGAATAATAGTGGGACTTAACCAGCCATACATCATCAACTGTATTAAGATGCTTTTATGGGATAGAGACAACAGATCCTACTCTTACTATATAGAGGTAGATTACTGATAATATACTAATAATATACTAATGATATACTAATAATATACTGATATGACCTTTCTCTAGATATCACTGGATGGCAGTCAATGGTTGACTATTATTGATAGGAGGGACCATCTCTGTCGTTCGTGGCAGGAACTGTTCTTTGAAGATAAAGTCGTCAAGTACGAGAGGAGTACATGTACATGATTATTATACATGTGCTACATTAATTATGAGTCTCATTATTTATTATTATTATTATTATTATTAGGTATATTCGTATCATTGGTACATTCAATTCGATGAACAGGAGTTTTCATTTGGTTTCTTTTAGCTGCCTACACACAAGCAGACGGTTCTCTCTATCTAAAGACGGACTCATCAGTAAGAAGAGAAAGAGAGAGAGGGAAGGAGGGAGAGAGAGGGGATAGAGAGAGGGGGGAGAGAGAGAGGGAGTGGAAGAGTGAGAGGGGGGGGAGAGAGGGAGAGGGTGCAGTTGAATGAAAAGCTCTTTTATCTCCTATCTCTTTCCAGTACCAGATGAAAACGTAGCCAGTATATCAACGAGTGCTACAGTCCTTGAAGGAGTGAGCAGGAGTAGAAATGCTTTGCTCAATGGAAACACTAGAGACTATGACTGGGACTCTGGCTACACTTGTCATCAGTTGGGATCAGGCTACATCATAATCCAACTGGCACAACCTTACGTCATATCCACAATGAGGTACAGACACATGGTCAACATACATGTACATGTACATACATGTACATGTATGTACTTGCACATACATGTATGTACATTGTATATGTAATTAGATTATGTCCTCCATAGGTTGTTGCTCTGGGATTGTGATGACAGGTCGTACAGCTATTACATTGAAGTATCGACTGATCAGAAGAGCTGGACTAAAGTCATTGATAGAAGTCAGGAGAGCTGCAGGTCCTGGCAGCACATACAGTTTGACCCACTTCCTGTTACCTTTGTTAAAATCGTAGGAACACACAATACAGCCAATGAGGTATAGAAATTTGTTTTTATTTGGGTTTCCCACAAAGCATGCTAGCGTATGGAGCAAATTTAAAAAATTCATTGGAATCAACTCAAATGTTCTACACAACAGAAAAACATGTATATGCATTAGAAAAAAATTATAAAAGTGGAAAACTCTCTCCTTTTCAATTTTGACAAAATTTGGCTGGACCAGATAGGATGTTTTGTCAAAATTTTGAGCAACTTTATCCACCGAAAATAAGCTGAAAATCCTGTGGGAAACCCTAGTATACATGTAGTAGTATACATGTACATGTGTACATGTGTACATGTATTTTCCTTTTGTATCTCCAGGTGTTTCATTGTGTTCATTTTGAATGTCCGGCGGCTCCTCTCAGCTCATCTCCAAACAATCATTTTAATTGATAAATAAATAATTGTATTAATGACATTAATTGTGTATATATAACTATGTCACTTGTCTCTTTTTAATCCGTCTCACTCCTTTCCCTCACACACACTCTTATGATGTTGATTTGATTAAATTTTAAAAGGATTGTTGTATCTCTTTGTGTTAGAATCTACATACTTTAATGTCGGAAATGATGAAAAAATATTTATGAAACAAATAAAATGATAATGTCTATAAATAATAAATAAGAACACTGTACATCATATTATGGTTCATATAAATAATGATTATTAATTATAGATTGATATGGACTATCTTTCAGTAACTAACACGGTTGTCCTCCTCCTCCTCCTCCTCCTCCCCATTTAAAGAACTTGAGGACGTTAGAAGAGACCGAAGATGCTCGACTTGCTTTTGATCTCTACAGAAGAGGATATACAGTGACTGGTAAATTGATGCGCTGCTTAAAACTTTCTAGCTTCTATACAAAATAAGACATGCTATTTTTCAAACTTCTACAGGCATCAATATGTACATTATATCATTGACATTTTTGTTTTGGAGCCACTTTTTCAAAAGTATAAGCAATTATTCAAGTGCTCATAACTTTAAAACATCAAATAGAATTGACTCGATCTTTCTACATAGCATCAATACACTCCCCAGACCTGATCGTTGTCAATTATTTTATCTTCATAAACAGCCCCTCCTCCTCCAGTCACGCCCCTTCCCTTGCTCAAAGGGGAAGAAGAAGAAGGTGAGATTCCCTGCAATCGATGAGCACTTGCGCTCCTTTTAGGAGACGGAAGAGTGTGGTGTCTCCTCTCTTCTAAAACCTGTCACACAGAGTAACATTATCATTGGAGGACAGCTTACAGGAAGGGGTGGGGTTATCCGCCCGAGCATTGAAGTGGGGGATGAGGAGTGCTCCCGACTGTCCCTCCCAATGCTACTCTCTTGGGCTTGCACTGATGTCCTTACTTTCTTGAATATACTCTCAGCTGCTTCCAGTTTACCTTGCTTCATGTAACACTTACCCTTAAAGATAAAAGAGAATGATAAAAAAAGAGAATGGAAATAGGAAGAAGGATAAAGTAGAGAATACTCATTTTAGTTTTTATACTTACAAGGTAATTTAGTGTTTTTGTTACTCTTGGATCATCTGGTCCATACTCTGTGTGATATATCTCTAGTGCTCTTTGGTAGTACCATTCCACCTGTATGAGTACAACAATGTATTATCAAGAGAGTATTGCAATCTGTTCCTTGCCTCCTCGTATTTCCCAAGGTGCTGGCAAAGTGTTGCTAGGTTTATTAGCTGCTGTGCCACATCAGGGTGATTGGGACCTAACAACTGGAGGAATCAGATATAAAATAAATAAATAGATAAATATAAACACTGCAATAGCATCTAATTAATGTCTCTAACTTTTTGTCGTATCTCCAGTGCTCGACGACAGAAATCTTCGGCTGTTCTATGCTCTCCTAGTTTACCGTGTAAGACTGACAAATTATTGAGCGTAGAAGCAACCTAATGTCAAGAAAAAGGAAAATTTATACATATACATGTATAAGTACATGTACATATACATACTGTTTGGTGAGTGGAGCCGTTGATTTTCTCTCGTATCTCCAAAACCTCTTGTAGCAGTTTCACAGATTCTTTTAACTTCCCCTGCTCTCTAATTAGAGTAACGTACAACTACACACACTCTCTCTCTCCTCCTTACCTGTAAATGACTACCATCACATTGAGCATGTTTGCTCTCTCTGGGTGGTATCTACCAGCTGTTCTCTCTAACTCTTGAACCGCTTTCTTACACAAGGAGACAGCAACATCATGTCTACCCTAGTGAGAGAGAGAGAAAGAGAGAGAGAGAGAGAAAGAAAGAAAGAGAGAGAGAGAGAGAGAGAAAGAGAGAAAGAGAGAGAGAGACAGAGAGAGTGGGTGGCCTTTCTCTTTTCTCTATTTTTCCTCACTTGGTGCATGTGTTGTAATGCATATTGATGAAGTTTCTGATAATGCGACTCATCACTGTCTCCTCCTCTTTTCTCTTCATTTCTGTCTTTCTTTCCACTCTTGTCCTCTCTCTCCACATCTTCCCCCTCCTCCTCCTCCTCTTCCTCCACTATACTGACAACAATAACAACAACTAAAACGACAACACATTACCATTTTCATTATTAACATCAGCTCTCTCTTTAACCTACAAATAGAAATAAATAAAAAAATATTATTATTTATTATTATATAGCAAGACTTTACTCAAGTATATATATGAGCACTTACCTGTGGCAAGTTTACAAGATAACTTAGTTGCTCTTTCTCTTCCTGTACCTTACACAACTCTACTTCACTTTCTTGTAATGATTGTTGACATTTCTGTAGCTCCTGTCTTAGCCAGCCATTCTCGTCTGCTAGACGTCTCACTTGAGCCTTTAACTTTGCTCTCTCTCCCTCTCCATATTCAATGTACTCAATAATAGCTTCAACCAACTGTACAAAGGAAGAGAGAAAGATTGGGACTATCTATTTCTATTGTATTATTTAAAAGGTTATTATTACGTTGGCGTCTTGTATTCCTGTGCTTAATAAATTAAAAGATTCAGCTAGTGCTCCTTCCCTGGCCTCCATCAAAAGAGTAGCATCTGATGAATAAAAAATAATGTATCATTAAAGTCCTTAGTTTTACCTTCTCCTTCTTCGATTTCTGCATTTTTCTGACCCAATTCTGATAGATGTGTCTCGTGTTGACGTCTGAGAGCTTCCAGTTGACAGGAAACTGAGCGAGAATCTTTAAGTAATTGAGAATAATGGAGCACTACAGCACTCTCATCCTCCATGTTAATAGGCCACACCTCACCACACCCACTAAAATCTATTAGTGTGCATGGGTGTACGCTTTAATTAATGCATAGATTTAATACACAGACCCGGTCTGTGTAGTATATCTATGATTAATGTGAATGTGTGGGTGGACACTGTTTTCGTCTTCTGTAATTTAGCACTAAACAGCTATTGAGTTTGACCTTGAACATTGGTGCCTTATACATGCACATGTACTTTATGCTGCATTACATAATTTCCTTTCATATTTTTTGCCATTTTTAACAGCTTATACACACAATGCATAACTCAATATCTACAGCAAAGTATATGCATGCAATATATACTTTTTTGCCATGAAGATATAAGTTTATTTGAAAAATAGGAGAAACTGTGCATTTTAACTAGCCTATAGTCACTAGTGTTGCATGATATAGCTAATAATTAATGTTCCTGGATTTTCTAATCTTTTGCAGTGCAGCACATCCTTAAGAGAGGCAGTAATAATACAAATAATTATCAGCATTATCAAAGATGCATGATGTGCATAGATAATATCTATGGTGTGTGGCTGTACGTTGTAATGCGAATGTGTTGGTGGAAAAGTCAGTCTTCTGTGCTACTGCTACTTCACTGATGGAAGCAATTTAGCACTAAACAGTTATTGACCTTGAACATTGGTGCCTTGTACTTTACACTGCGTTACATAATTCCCTTTCATATTTTTGCTATTTTGTACAGTTCACACACACACACACACAGAATGCAATGAATGCATAACTCAATATCTACAGCAAGGTATGCATGCAGTAATTAATTATTTTTGCCAGGAAGATATAAATTTATGCGACAAATGTGCATTTCTGCAAGCCTATAGTCACTAGTGTTGCATGATATGGTTAATAATTAATGTTCCTGGACTTTCTAATCTCTCGCAGTGCAGCACATCCTAATGAACGGAGAGGCAGTAATAATACATATAATTATCAGCATTATCAACTGCTTTATCAGGATAATTCTTTGCTAGTTTCCTGCATTCCATTGGACCATAGGCATGATCGGAAGTATAGCCAAAAGCATGACTCCACTCGTGAAGTAGAACTCCTTCCTTGTTATACTTTGTATCATCACTGCACAGGGTGGGAAAATTGGAGAGACCAGGACAAATGTAAGTGGTAGTACTACCTTTATAGGTATAGGCTCCCCAGTTGGGTTGACAATTAACACCATTGATGACATACTTAACCGATTTAGCGTGAATTCCAGTATCGACCTTTCGGAATACATGTTTTACCTTATTTTTACGTCTATGGGTAGGTCCATGGTCAGGCCGATGGTCAGGCCGATGGTGAGGTGGATGGTGAGGTGGATGGTGAGGCGGATGATGAGGCGGATGGTGAGGCGGATGGTGAGGTGGATGGTCAGGCGGATGGTCAGGTGGATGGTCAGGACAATGGTCAGGCGGATGGTGAGGCGGATGGTCAGGTGGATGGTGAGGCGGATGGTCAGGCGGATGGTCAGGCGGATGGTCAGGTGGATGGTCAGGCGGATGGTCAGGCGGATGGTCAGGCGGATGGTCAGGCGGATGGTCAGGCGGATGGTCAGTCGGATGGTCAGGACAATGGTCAGGCGGATGGTCAGGCGGATGGTCAGGTGGATGGTGAGGCGGATGGTGAGGCGGATGGTCAGTCGGATGGTGAGGCGGATGGTCAGGTGGATGGTCAGTCGGATGGTCAGGACAATGGTGAGGCGGATGGTGAGGCGGATGGTCAGGTGGATGGTGAGGCGGATGGTCAGTCGGATGGTCAGGCGGATGGTCAGGTGGATGGTCAGTCGGATGGTCAGGACAATGGTCAGGCGGATGGTCAGGCCCATCGTCAGGCCTAGCCTCAAACCAGTCCCTATACAATGTCTTATTCTTCTTGTCAACAGCATCTTT